CATACCTATCTTAAAAGGATGTTTGTAGCACTTTTCTGCAACCATCTGACCAATAAAAATTCTGCTTAACATTGACATTCGTGCTTCAGACGTATTATAAATTGTCCTTCTCACAGTTTAATTACCTCCTTGTTCCCGTTTTGGGTCAATACCCTCACAACCACTCTTAGAAGAGACTCTCTATTTAAAAACAGCATAAAGTTTCAAAGAGCAGCAACGTGTACAGTTTGCCGTGTTACAAGAGATTATTCTAACAACAACTTTTTAAAACTGTACAGCACTTTTTCTGCAAAACTCCGTGAAGGTTTCACGAAGGACAATCAACTTTCAACTTGCTCGTAATCTTTTCTCGCGCCATCAACATTTCATATTTCTACCTGCTTAGTAACTTCTGTCACAGTCGTTTTTCAAAATAAAGCATAGAGGTAAGCTATGCTCTCCAAACGCTAACTCTAAGAAGTGGAAATCTAGCATCCTACTTTGACATGCTAAAAGTAACACTACGAGCTTCGCACTTTTATATTGCAACATGTAACGTTATTAAAAAAAAAAACTAAACAAACAAAGACATCCCTTACCTAGTGAAGTTATCTTGTTCAGTTTGAGAAGTGGTCTGCCTCAAAATGCGAAAGTCCCAATACTTGATGCATCTTATATACACTTTAGATCAATCAAAAAATGTTTTGCGCAAACTCGCCAAATACTCTACGTGATCAGGGTGATAATATGTTATTCATTAGAGCATAAGTTTCTTCTATCTTTTGTCTATCAGCTGCATGCCTCCTTAGAGCATAAGTTTCTTCTATCTTTTGTCTATCAGCTGCATGCCTCCTTAGTAATTAGTCGGCAATCCTTTTCTCAACAAATTAGACAGAATTTTCTTAAATTCATCTCCAAAAGTTACATCAAAGTCCTCCTCTCCCCAACAATATTGTAATACATTTTTGACCATTAGGCTAACCCCAGGAGTGTTGCAGCTCATTGTACTCTACCAGATCAGAGTCACAATGATACATTATTAAACCGAGCATAAGTTAAAACATGACTGATTTGACTTGAACAATGGAAAAAGTTGTAATGAAGCCTAATTAAGAACTTCAAATAAACCGAAATTATTCCCCCTATTAGAGTCATCACTTTGTTTTTGACAATCGATTATACAAATAATACTAACAAGCTAAACGTAATTATTCTTATTTCTCTTGTCTCACGGTTGACACGCCTCTCCTTAGTAAATGGTCGACAAACCTCTACTCAACTAAGTAGACAGGAATCTCCAAGTTTAACTCTGATAAGAGGGTTCCATACACTTTTTACGTGAAGCGTGATTGGGCGTTTTTTTCTGTCGTGAATTGTGATTTGATTATCGTGAATCATGCCTAAAGATAATAAGATCTTTTCCTTTCTACGTGAACGAGTGAACCCTGAACTTAGAACTGAATTAAAAGTGATTCGTGAACCATTTCTTTTTGCTTGATGAATTCCTGGCTACTTTTAAATTGTTTTGAAAATGTATGTAATGTTCTTCGAACAGCTGTGGTTGGGTTTTGACCAGGGTTTTGACAGGACTTCAGATGAAGGACTTCAAATGGTCGATAAAACAATTGAACAAATGAGATAAGACATCATGTCATTTTTTGTCACGCGCGACCGGTCAAGACTGAAATAAGTCAATTATTTAATCAAATTGACTGCCTTGAATTTTGCGTGAACGTGAAAGGGTTTTAGATATTATTTGCGATACGTGAAAAGGCCAAATATTTTTACGTGACTGAGTTTTACAAAGGAGCATAGAGGACCTTCTTGTAAGTTACATGAAAAGTCCCCCTCTCCTTCTCCCTTCCCCCGCCAAACAATGTTGCAATACATTTTTGTCCAGTTTGCCAACCCCAGGAATTGCGTCATTCATTGCAACCTACGTGATCAGAGTGACACCAATTAATATATCTTTCATAACTTATTTTTACCTGTGTAATTAAAAAAATTATCATAATGGCCAATTTGACTTTAAAACAAACAATAATAATTCCTTCTATCACAACAAGCACAAGTTTCCTTTTTCTAATTTCCGTTTTCTTATTATCTTGAAATTCAATGAAAAATTCATAAACTCATTTCAGAGGGGACATATAAAACGACTCATGCATTTACTGTGAATTTTGAACTTTGTTTTGCGGCAAGTTTTCCTATCACCGTGAGAGGGTGCGTACAAGTTGCCACTTTGTCTCGCAATTCCGTTTTTTTTTTTCACCATGAGTTGGAAATACGGGAGCACTGGTATCACCCGTAAAATTGCTTATGAATTGTTGTATCCGGACTCGCACGGCGGGCTCCTAAATATTTGAAATATACACAGTGATACTCCGCACCAAAACTTTTCTTAAGACATACATCTGGTAAAATTGCATTAGGGTTGTTTTTCTGCGTAATTTTTATGTGGGAATTATTTCATTAGTATTTAACCTGCTGGTTTGATCAAAGCAGTGTTTGGCCACATACGAATGGATGGAAAAGTTTTAACAAAAATTAATACTGATTCCTGTTTAAAACGAGACAGCAAACTTTGCCTTTTGCCGCGCTTTGAATCTTTGTAAGAAACATGTTTTATCACTCCATTTTCGAATTTAATCACCACAAGAAGTCATATATGAAAGCATTGAATATTTAAAACGTGATAATGTTTATGATAGAACTTTAACTTTAACGTGAGCTAGATGTCGATTTGTCAATAAGTTTACAGTTACTTGTTGTTTATTTCTAATTATGAATATTCTTGAAAGTACTATTACGTGTATTCGATGTTCTGTCACGTGCGATAATTTTTTGCATTCGATTGAAACAGAGGTCACACGTTACTTCTGGTTGTTATTTGATAGAAATAAAAATGTTCATCATTTCCTTTCACAAAGTTGCGTGTTCAATGGATATCCCGTTCAATTAATCTTTTTCACCAACACACACAAATACTCCTACTAAACGACCGATGTCGAAAGCGATAGTCAGGCGCGTACGCGAAACTCAAGGGGTGTGCCGTTGAAAATGGCTGATCTCAATACAAGCATTCTTGGACAAAAATTGTTGGACTCTTTTGTCCCCTTTTTTCCAACGCTCACGTTGCGTGTATTCGGTGTTCCGACAAGTGCGTCGATTTTT